GATTTTTAATCATACAAAGCATATCGTGCTTAGCTCCTTGACCTAAGCAACGTTCATTATGCAATAATCACTATACGTGCTTAGCTTCCAGACCTAAGTGACGTTCAAAATCGCTTCTTTACACCATATATGATGCTTAGCTCCATGACTTAAGTTCATTCATCTATCGTGTCACATGATGTAATTGTCCTTAGCCTCCTGGCCTAAGAGCTTGCATCATGCATACATTATTTTCAGGACAAGCAATTCAATCCATACGATTCATTTCGTCTTGCTCAAGGAGGAAGTCCAAAACTTCTCTCCCTTTTCATTATTTTATTTTGGGGAAGTTCAAAAAACTTTTTCCAAGTTTTCATCGAAGGAAGTTCGAAAATAAAAGTTCAGTTTTCACATCTTTCTTTTTCGGGAGAAAGTCGGTACCCTCCACTCATGACAAAAATTGACGGAAAATTTTTGCTGGAAAATTTTTGCTTTTGCATCTTCGTTTGCTTGTGTCTGCACACACACATATACACACACACACTCACAAGTCATACACATGTCATGTCAAGTTAACTTGGTCAAGTCTTTTGCTTTTGCATTTTTAATTGCTTGTGTCAGTACACACACTCACTCAAGACACACACAATCACAAGTCATACACATGTCATGTCATGTTAAGTCAACTTGGTCAAGTCTTTTGCTTTTGCATTATTAATTGCTTGTGTCAGTACACACACTCACTCAAGACACACACAATCACAAGTCATACACATGTCATGTCATGTCAAGTCAAACTGGGTCAAGTCAGTTGGTCAAGTCAATCATAGTCTATACGAGTTCCCCTGGCAAATTTTATTTTGCAGGTCTTATCTACAGCCCACGTCCGGGGACAAGCGAACCACCATCATTTCATGACGCAAGGTTCTCGATACACAGAGACTTGCAATCTCATCATCAGTCGTCTTTCCTCAGGCTTGGAAAGCGTTATCCGGTGGATTTTTCTTCAAGTATAGAAAACCGCCAAATCGGCTTTCCTCAAGTATGGAAGGCATTATCGGTGGAATTCTTCAAGCATAGAATGACACCAAATTCGTTCGTCAACTTTCCTCAGGCATGGAAGGTATTATCCGGTAGCTTTCTTCAGGCTTAGAAAACTGCCAAACTCTTCAGTCGGCTTTCCTCAAGCATGGAAAACGTTTCAACCAATGTCACTCAGTAGATTCCTTCAAGCTTAGGAAGCTGCCAAACTCGTTTATCACCGACACACTGGTGCCAGATACATATTCTATCCCTTTACTCTTTTATCTGTGGAATTAACATTTTTCTGCAGTTATCGGCGTGCACAGAATGATTTAGGATCGCAGAACGTCTTAAATCATTCTCCGTCCCTATCGACTACTTTGACTATCGTTTTCGAAACTGACGTTTCTACAAACTCAGTCAAAGTGGGGGCTTCTGTAGACACCTAAAAATGTCTCCCCAAAACCAAACCCGATGATAAATAACCTTTCACCGCCACTGTTGGTCGGGTTTAGTATTTAATCTCGAAAGTGCTTAAAAAATCGTATTTTGTTAAATTCATATTTTTGAAAGGTCCATGGATCAGTCTCGATGTTTGGTAAAAGCATAGTTTTAATTTTAGCCCAAGCTTATTAATTAATTTTAAGCCCAAACCTTTTTTTATTTATTTTTGGCCCAAACGTTTTATTTTATTTATTTTTATTATTTTCTTATTTTAGCCCGAATAATAAAAGTCAGAAAAAGCCCAAAATTATCAATCGACACTTAAAAAGCTGAAAGAAATTAGGGTTAAAAATGAATTTAGACGGAAAAATGGACTGGAACTGACCGTGTCACGGTACAGTCTGACCGTGTCATGGGAACCATTCCCGTCTGACGGTGGGACTTCCCGTGACACGGGAGGTCTACCGTGACACGGGACCTTCCGTGTCCTTTCCGCGTAAACCCTTAACGCATTTTTCGTTCCGTTTTCAGAAAATTTCCCGCGTCACTCCAAAACTGTGCCGTGTCACGAGAAAGTGTACCGTCTGACGGTACTGTTTGACTGTGTCACGGGATACTTTTTTAGGGTTTTTATTATTTTAGGGTTCCGTGTGCTCCCTCAGCACATTTTCCCTATAAATACTAGGGCTGGCAAAAGCTGACCCGACCCAACAACCCGACCCGAACCCAACCCGAAATAAATGGGTTTTGAGAGAGATTTTCAACCCGTTTATGTAATTGGGTCAACCCGAACCCGACCTGAAGTTAAATGGGTCGGGTTCAGGTTGAAAATCCCAACCCGAAACTAACCCGCATAAACCCGTTTATTTAATTGGGTCGGTTTCAGGTCGGGTCAACCCGAACCCAACCCGCTTAACTTAAAACCCTAATTTTAAAATATGGGCCAAGCCCAAACTATCTAACCCTAATTCCCTAAAGACCTAAAGTCCTAAACGGCTAAACACTCTCCCTCTTTCTCTCGCCGCTTTCACTCAGTTTCTCTCTCTTCTCTCCTCTCTTTTCTCTCTCTAACTCTCTTATTATCAATCTTTCGACATTCAAAATAAAACTACTTGAAGATTGAAGCTTAATCTCGAACACTCTGAAGGTAATAATCGTAATATCATTCTCTTTTGTTGCTTTAATCCTATTATTCGATTTTTTATGAGTTTGTTTGCTCATGAGTCATTTGTTTATGCAATTTCTTTGATTTGGTTATGCAATTTCAGATTTCTTTGATTTTTTAAACGATTTTTTGCTATTATGGTTTATGTATGCTTTGTTTATGCGATTTAATCATTTAATGTTGTTCGTTTGTTATTTTCTTACTCTGCAATTTCTTTGATTTGATTTGTTTATGCGATTTTTTGCGATTCCAAGTCTGTTTGTAGTTTATACTTTTGTTTTTCATTTGTTTGATTCTTTATGTCATGACTCATGAGTTTATACTTCTGTTTTTCATGTTTTATCTTTTATGCCCTGAGTGTAATTCTTTTTTTAATTTATTCTCAGATGGCTGATAGCCCTAATCCTGATGAACCCATTGTCCATTGATCTTCCGGATTCTGATTCAGATGATGAAGTTTCTGATTCTCATGAAACGGAATCAAAGAAGAAAACCTCTTGGAACTTTTATTTGCCTACTTGGAAGTATTTTGGACATGTAACTCTTGGAAATATTTTGGACTTGTTGGCTGGCCTACTTTTCAAGTTTTAGTTGCTGTTGTGAGTGTATGAAGTATGGAAAATGCACTAATGCAGCAGGATTTTCTTGAATTATGTTGTTAAGTTATGTTTTCTTGAATTATTTGTTGAACATGAGTCTTGAATACTTGAATCTTACAGGTTAAAGAAATTAGTCAAATTACAGGTTAAAAAAATTACAGTATAAAGAAATTAGTAAATTACAAGTTAAAAAAATTACAGTATAAAGAAATTAGTAAATTTCAGGTTGTTGCCTTCGTTGTCCCTTATCGTGGTTGCCTTTTTATGATTCGTGAACGGTTTACAAGTTCCTTAAAAACTTGTTGGCGCTCCCTGCTTTATTTGTCCCTAATCGTAATGTCAATTCCCACTTCTTATGAGTGCCAAGCATATTCACAACATGCTTTTAACGTAGGCGCACTTCAAACGACGCCTACACTACCCGGATCTTTTAATTTAGGTGGAGACTTATTTTGAAGTACGACACTACACTCTGCAGTGAAAGCTACTGTCTCTACCTCACTAATAGACCTTTTCCTTGTCAGTAATTCTTTCATAAATTTTGCATATGAAGGAATTTGTGTGATTAATTCAGTGAAGGGAACTGTTACCTTCAAATCTTTTACCATCTCCAGGAACTTACCAAACTGCTTATCCAAGTTTGTCTTCAAGTGACGATTGGGGAATGGAAGTTTGATAATTGGCTTTGGAGCATTATTGCTCTTATTTGGAGCGGCCACCTTCTCTGGAGTCGTATCCTGTAATGTAAAATCAGATATATTAGTACTATGCTTTAGCCCAGCAGGGCTAGTAGCTACATTGTCAGGTTTAACGGAATCAAGATTAGCATTATTTAATAAAACAGGTTCATCAACTCTGGGCATAGGAGGCCCTTCATAGTTTGAACCACTCCTTAGATTAATTGCATAGGCTTGATCCGTAGGCCTGGTCGGCTGTGCCGACAGAGCTCCCTGTTGGCGGGCTTGTAGAGTAGCGGAAAGTTACGCAATTTAATTATCAACAATTGTATTGTGCGCTAGGATTGAATCAATTTGCGCATCTCTACTCTCCATATGCTTCTGTATATTAACCAACATTGCTCTAATTTCCACCAAAGAAGGGTCTGAAGATAAGGAGGGTTGTTGTGTTTGGTTTTTTCTGGCCAGCATTGGGATGGTAATATTTCTGCTACTGTTGCTGTGGCGCCTGTGGTTCTTGTGGTGGTGAAAATTAGTACTCCGGTAGGAAAGGTACGGATGATTCCGATACCCAGGATTGTAGGTGTTGGAGTATGGGTTATTCTGCCTATAAGCTTGAAAGACATTAACTTGCTCCACGGAACTCCTGCAATCTTGTTCCCAATGACCTATAATACCACAATTTTAACAAAACGCCTCATTAGAATTATTATTAATTGCAGAAACATTAGCTACATTAGCAGTGCTCAGATTATCTAATTTTTGGCAGATATAGGTCATTTGAGCTTGCAAAAAGGATACAGAGTCGACATTGTGCTTCCCCTTGTTAGCAAATCCTCTAGGATTCACTAGTAGAAAAATTGTCATTTGTAACGGGTTATTTGTAACGGGCAAAGCTATGCCCGTTACAATAAACATATTCGTAACGGTCAAAATAACAGTCTGTTACAAATACACAATATTCGTAACGGGCAACATGGTGTCCGTTACGAAAACTATGTTTTTTGTAACAGGCAAGATCTTGCCCGTTACGAATAGTTATTTATTTGTAATGGACAAGATTGTGCCCGTTACAAATGTTTGAATTTGGGCTTTGCTGATGAGAAAAGCCCATTTATAACTAGGGTTTCACTCTCCTCAGTCATTCAGTCCTTAAGCCGTCATTTCCTCATCTTCTTTCCTTTCTCCTCTCTCCTTTCTCCTCCAAAAACCTTAACATCCCCAATTTCCCACTCGATGACATCTTATCAATGGATGTTCAGCTCTTACAAAACCCTAAAATTCCATCCCCAAATCAACCAAATTCCTCAAATTCTCTCAATGTCTTCCTCAGAGTTTGCCCCCTTCCAATTGCTCCTTCCAAACCCTCTAAATCGAAATAACCTAATTCGAAAAAACCTAGTAAGAGTTGTCTTACGATCAATGACGATTCATTCTATTATGATTATTCCCCCGATTTACGATTCTAACAGGTTGAAATTTGAAGTTTACAACGGATTTTCGCATGTTTTTTCTTCAAATTCTTCTCAGGTTTGTTGTTTGAATTCTCCCCCTTTTTTAGTTTTTGGGATTTTTTTCAATTGATTGATTGCATACTTTTTTAAGTGAATTGTGGTTATAACTGTGCAGGATGAAGTGTATGATAAGCTCATGAGACCAATGGTTGAGGGATTTATGAGTGGAAAAGGTGGGCTTTCGGCTGCTTAAGGTCCTAGTGGTTCTAGGAAAACTCACACCGTTTTCGGATCTGTCAAAGTACCCGGTTTGATTCCTCGCGCTCTTCGCCACATTTTTTTATGCTGAAGCTGGTAAATCGTCTATGATGTCGAGGTGATTATGCTCACAATTTTCCTTTTGAGGTTCAATTAATAGTATTATATATGTGTGAGATGGTAATTCGTTTTTTTTCTCTATGTTGCTCTTTTAAAGTCTTTGCGGTCCTGTTGGTGAATTTCTCTCGAAGATTAGGTAGATCGAAGCCTCTTCATAAGGTCCTTGGTGGTGGTAAACGTATGTTTCCTCAATTTTTGATTTTTCCCTCTTTTTTTTGATTGAAATGTTGTTTGTATATTCTGAATTTGATTGTTTCCTGTACAATTTGTGCGAATTGATGATTGTTTTTAGCTTGATTATTGTTTATTAATGGATATCGGGAGTGATTTTGATTTATTTGTTTACTTAATTTTTAATATGTAAAGTGTGAATAAGTGTTAGATTGTTATGCTGGGTTGTTAACTTTGAAACTTTGCCACCATTTGTTGTATTCCCTTGATTTTGTAAGTTGTATGCTGCCGCCATCCATTCTAAATGTATGCATGTATATAATAAAAATGTGACTATCTGCTAATATAATTCTTTTCATTACTTGTGCAGGAAATTGCTTTGTTGGGGCGTCTTAGACATCCAAATATTGTGCAGTATTATGGTTCAGAAACTGTAAGTCTGAGATGTTTTCTTAGATTTTATAGAGTGTACACTTGTTTTTCCCTTCATTTTTGCATTAATTGAAGATACTTGGTTAGTATTATCTACATATGCCTGAGATTTAGAGCGAAAAAGTGATGATTGCAGCTTTATGAGAATTTGTATTGGTCTAATACAATATAAAAGTCCTAATTTTTAATTTGAGGATTAGTTGTCTAATTGATCAAGTATTTCAGTTTCAGTTTAAGTTGGATATTTTATTTCCAACCTTACTTCTTGAGTTTGTTGCATTAAAAATACGTAGCATGAGCTTTTCCATAAGGCACAATGTGTCAATGTCTAATCAATATGGATTATAGCGGTCGTAGGCTTATGAGGTCTTGGCCTAGTGATAAAGGCTAAAAGCTTGTAGTTGTTCAGACTATAGATAATTTATTAATAATTGTTGTCGCTGGCTACTTTTTTCGGGAGCTATATGTAGAGTGACAGGGTGGGAGGTGGAGCTAATTTTTTTTGACAAAAGCTTCAGACCTTTTGCTTGAGCTTAAAACAAGTATCATCTCATTAAATTGAACTCATATAACTTCAAAATTGGACTCATATAACTTCAAACACAAGTATCATCTCATTAAAACAAGTATCATCTCATTATTCCACGTGCATATCAACTCATAGAATGGTAATGTCCAGTTCACTCAATGAATTGTTCAGTTTACTGTCAATCTTTCATTCTCATAATCTCATATCCTGTAGAAAGGAAGATGTTACAACTTCCCTGGGTTGATATGCACGTGGAATAATGTTTAATATGTACAAGAAATTCTGATATTCTGATTTGAATAGTCATAATAAGATCTGATTTAATTTATGAATGTAGGGTACTAATATACCTGAGGAGAGTCTTCCTGAGCCATTTAACCAGAAGAAGCGTGATTTGCTGTTACGTTCCTTCGAACAATCAAGTACAAGCTCTCACATTCAGAAATTTGCTAGTGTAGCAGAGTCAGACACAACTCAAGCATCCCATTTTCTCCATCTTCCAGGAAGCATTTTTTTAATGGGAGGCTCATACAGTAAATCAAGGGACAGTCTCCACAGTCCATCGGATTTCATTTTGGTCATACACAAGAGATGATTGATTTCGCGAGGGAAGTTGGTGCTCCAGACAAACCACTTGAGTTGCAGTAATTTGTGGAAGATGTAAACGATTTAACATTAATTTAGTGGAAAATCATTTAAATCTCTTATTGCCATTGAGATTTTCTTTTGCTCTATTTTTTCAGTTTTAGTTATTAGGTGATAATAAATGTATTTTTTTTTTGCTGATTTTATATATATGAAGTACTATTTTTATCTCAATTAATTAATAAAATAATTGTGCTATAAATATTATGCAAGCTAGCTAATCTAGCACAACATGTGCTGGATTTTTTTTAAAATTGGATTACACACTATTTGTAATGGGCAGTTGAAAGTCTCGTTACAAATAAATCGTTATTTGTAACGGACACTTGAAATGTCCGTTACGAATAACAAGTTATTTGTAACGGGCACTTGAAATGTCCGTTACGAATAACGGGTTATCTGTAACGGGCACTTGAAATGTCCGTTAGGAATAACGGGTTATTCGTAACGGGCATTTCAAGTGCCCGTTACGGATAACCCGTTATTCGTAACGGACACTGCCCGTTACGAATAACACTGGCTATCCGTAACGGTGGCATACGTAACGCCCGATGCCCGTTACGGATAGGCCTTTTTTGCCCATTACGGATAGCTATTTTTCCACTAGTGATTCCCATATTGGGAATTGTGTATCGCCATATCTTCAATAACCTGACCTGCATCATCAACATTAAGATTCATAAATCTCCCACTAGCTGCAGAATATAAAATTATTCCAGATGAATTTCCAATGCCATTGTAAAAGGCTTGGATTAACTGTCATTGTGCTAAATTATGATGGGGGCATTCTCTTTGTAGGTCCTTGAACCTCTCTCAAGCCTCATATAAAGATTCATCGGCTTCTTGGGCAAAGTTCTGAATCGCACTTCGTAGTACGGTTGTTCTCTCTGCAAGATAATACTTGTTATAAAAATTCAAAACAAGAGTTTCCTAGTCCGTTATACCAAGTGCAGTTCTATTTAAGCCATTAAACCACAATTTAGCTTTTCCAGTTAAAGTGAAGGGAAAGAGAATCTCCCTGATTTGGTCTTGTGTGACCCCGGCTTGCCTGATGGTATTACAATATTGACAATAGTCAGCAATGTGAAGATTTGGGTCTTCACCCTTGGCTCCACTAAATTGCTTCCTCTTTATCGTCGTTATAAATTGGGGTTTAATTTCAAATTGTACCCCATCAAGAGCTGGAGTGGGAGTGAGATGTGGAAAATCTGTGAGCTTGTGTTGTGAGTAATCACTAAGCTTCTTTGGAGCCGTCATCTCTGATTCTGGATCAGATGATACCTCTGAATTGCTAGAACCAGTTGGAGGGTCTCGGTGATTATTATTATCACCAGAATCCACCAGGATTTGCTTGTAAAGATTTTTTCTGTCTATGGAAAGATCGCTCGATCTCAGGGTCGAATGGGATGTACCCTGATCTGGAACACCTGGTGTAGGGAATAATTTCAAGCGTTAATCCCCTAGCTTGAACCCCACTGTGATAATACACTAAAGTACGGTGGCGTCCGAAAGGGAAGAAGAAAGAGCAAAAGAGTCGCCAACAAATTTTGGGAACTTGTAAATCATTCACAGGGTGAAGGTTACACCCCTTAACGATCCAAGAGATCGTCAACTCCATAAGGTCTAGAACCAAATAAGGGTTCGGGGATGAAGGTACAAATCCAACCTAAAAGAGATTGAACCTGTCCTAATAATAGGCCTCTACTTTATTCAGATCGTATTCATGTGCGCTTTCTGACTAACATGCAATCAATAGGATTCACCCTAAACCTGTTCAATCTATGTTGGTTGAATATTAATGCACAAATAAACTATTATTGGCGATCATTTGAAATTATAATCATAATTAACCCTAAACAAGATTATTAATTATCTTATTAAGCGTGATTACAAGTACAAATTCCCTTTAAACATGCATAAAAGGTGTGATCAAGCAATAACAATGAATATCAAGCAACATAATAATAATCAATAATAATTATCATAATCATAAATCATAACAATAATCATCATAATAACAATCATATTAATCATAATAATAATCATAAGTCATGTTAAAGCATAATAAAAATAGCAAGATCCTAGGCATGATACTAACAAGATTAATAACAAACCCTAGCATGTCACTAAGCAATAAAAATCAAATCTTTAACCCCAACATGATACTAACAATCATAAATATTAGGAAGAACATAGGAAACATCGCAGGAATCAAAATAAGCATATTTGGTATTATAACCTTTTCCCTAAACATGATACTAGGAATATCATAATAACAATTTAAACATGATTTCTACATCATAATGTAAATTAAAATCATTAAAGCACTTACTTTGATACTTCATACCTCTTTCTAATAACAAAATACACACGTTAGTAACTTCAAGGAAAATAATAAACAAACAATTAAATTAAATAATTGAAATAGAGATTTGGGACCAAACCCTCAGAAATTAAACCTTTCACGTCTAGGGCGAAGGCAACTTCGAATATGGCTAGGTGTTTCTAGATCTAATGAATGCGGAATTTTGTATTTGAAAAGCAAGTTTAGAAAAAGAGAGAGAGAGAAAGAGAAACTTGATGAGAGTTGGTGAATGATTAAAGAGAATGAGAGAGAATTGAAAACTCGTTATAGGTGAATGAAAACGGAGTTTTTACGACGTTATTTATAGAAAAATAAGCCAAAAAGATAAGATTATCAAAACAGAGCATTGGCGCACCTAAAACAGAGCTGGCGCCAACGCTGGCTTATTGGCGCCACGCGCCAATGCCTGGCGTTAGGCGCTAACCCTGTTTTTGACGCGTTTTCTAAAATCAGATAAATTTTGCCGTACTGGAGGATAAAATCGTATTTTTCCTCAAAAATGCTCTTTGATTTTAATTAAAACTCTGAAAAGTCAATAAAAGTCAATTTGTCAATGCTAATTGAATTAGGAATGAAAATAACCTTCTAAAAGAATATAAAAGACTAAAACCATTCCTAATTGCATTAGGAATGATAAATCATACGGCTATTTCACCAAATGCCATTGAGTAATTTAAAAATTCACCAAATGCCATCGGACTTTTCAGAATTCACCAAATGCCACCGAGTTTTTGAAAAATTCACCGAGTGCTTGATCACACCATTAAGGCTAATTATGCCACGTGGCATATTCTAATTGGTTCATTTTATTATTATTTTATTTATCAAAAAAATTTTAAAAAAAATTAAAAAAAAATGAACCCCGTCTAATCTTCCCACCGCACCACCGCCCCTACGACAGCCCAACCCCTTGCCTCCACCCCCACCGGCGACCAACATCGTTGGCGGCCACCCTTCCCCCTGACCCTATGCCCCCTACCATCTGCATCCACTCCCCCCTAAACACCCATCCTCGACACCCTAATAAAACCCCAAAAACGAAATCTTCGAAATCGAAAACCAAATTTGGTTTTCGATTTTAAGCAAGGTGGTTCAGGGGGTGGAGATGGGAGGGAAAGAGGTGGTTTGGGTTCGTCGGAGCAGGAGGGATGGAGTGGAGGGGGTTACGAATTTAGGGAAATCGATATTGGGGTTTAAGGTGTCGAAACCCTAGATTTCGATTTTTGGGGATTTTAATTTAGGGTTCCGGCGTGGTGGTTGAAAGGGTGGAGCTCGAAGGGGCTGAACTGATTTGGGTTCTCCGGCGTGGGGAGGGGGGCTTTGGTCGTCGGCGGTGGTAGGGGGGGATTTTCGGGGGAGAAGGAGAGTTTGCGAATCGGCTGGGTGCGTTGTCGTTGCGGGCTGGCTACGCTGGGTCTCCAGCGGTGCGGTTGTTCAAGGCTGGGTCGCCGGCGGTGCGGTTGTTCAAGGCTGGGTCACCGGCTCGGTTGTTCAGGGGTGGGTTGCCGCCGCGGTGGGGATTGGTTGGAGGTGGGGATATGGTGGTGGCAGTGAAAGACGGTGGTCGGGTTGAGTCATGGTGGGTGGGTGGTTATTATTTTTTTTTTTAGTTTTTTATTAAGTAATTAATATACTAATTTAATAAGCAACCAATAATAAGCCACCACGTGGCATAATTAGCCTTAATGACTAACAGAGTTAACTGCCGTTAGTCATTAATGGCACTCGGTGAATTTTTAAAAAACTCGGTGGCATTCGGTGAATTCTGAAAAGTCCGATGGCATTTGGTGAATTTTTAAAGTGCTCAGTGGCATTTAGTGAAATAGCCGTAAATCATATTAGGTCCTCCCCTAGATCATTGAGCCGTATATAAGGCTCAAACCGGGCCCAGTTTAGTAAATTGGCCATAACTTCCTCGATATTCGTCGGAATTGGGCTTATAATATATCGTTGGAAAGCTTTTGTCAAGCCCTATCCAACTACACCACTATTAGACCCATATCATGGACCAACCAAACTGGATTGACTGTTTTTTTTAAAATAAGTTTTCAAAAACAAAGAGAAGAGAAAAGAAATTAAAACTATCCGCAACACTAGACTTTCCACACTTTCACTTCATTCGATTATGATTCGACGCGAAAGGTACTCATCACTGGGTTTGGTTTTGGGGAGACACAAATGGGTGTCTACACCTGGGCATAAACAAAAAAAACTAAAAGCAAATATGAGATTTGCCTCAAAGAACTAACGTTCTCTGAGACAAAAAGAACTACAAACTAACGTTCTCTTTGTTTGTCAAATTTTATGCCATAAAATTGCTTGATTATGTTTATATATTTCCTTGGGAGTAATTTGAGACTTGTTTGAATCAATTTGGAGAAGAAACAAACAAATCACCATTGTTGGACCTCTTAAGGTAGGGAAGACAATGTGGCTTGTTCTTGACGTTTTTGCTAGCAATTGTTGTCCAATTTGTCACAATAATTACTATAGTATTGCAAGAAATTGTTTGAATGCTTGAAAAATTTTGTATATGCTCAATTTGAATTTGTGCTCTGTTTTAGTACTACGTACTCTGTTTTTTGCGAACATAGTATCATGCGGCTAGGCGAACCTTAGATACTATAGAACCTTAATTTATGATGATTTTGCACAATGTAGCATGGCTAGACAGCGAGGTTTGGGTTCACGGTCCCGAGACGTTCGACGGGAGCACGAGCCCGTAGAGGACGATGTCGATCCGTCAACTTCTCTCGTCCGACTCCCTGAGTGGGATGAGCGGACTCTGTACTTCTCTCCCGTCCACCAC